AAAAAAAAAAAAAAAAAAAAAGAAGAAGGAAATAATGGTAATGTCATGAGATTGTCATTTGAATTAATGAGGATGAGAAATTTTCAAATTTTCCTTCCTCCAATTTACGAGCAGCGTGGCAACAGATCTCCCAGAGAATCCATTCTGCCTTTCAAACGCAAGCTGCAGCACGAGCAACTGTTTCCACGCTTGCGGCGATTCGATATTTTCACGTGGACGAGCTGCGAGAAGGAATTTCTCCGACGAGGACGTAGCCAGGCTTCGCCCCCGCAGCGAGACGAGGGCTGCAAGAATCCCGAAGAAATCGATCTTCGGTCTGACCACGAGCCAACCGCAAGATCCTCAGAGCATCCGTACCGCTCGCAAAGTATTCCACAAGAACAGCCAGAAATGGTTGATCAGGCGAACGAGGAGCGGCCACGTTTACGGGAAATATCCGGTGTAGCGAGAAATAATAATTTTCGAAATTTTTTTCTTTCTATTCCATTCAGCGCGGGGAAAATTCAATTTTGAGTTTCGATCGTTCGTGAAAAGCGTTGAAATCAAGTGCAGATGATGAATAACGATGTTTAACATTCCGAACAATTAAGGATAGTGTAAGAATTATTCCTCAGCAATTTCGACGTCAGTTCTCAAGCGTGGTTACAGTTTTGTTATTTTCTTTTTTTTTTTTTACTAACATTTTATTTCCTTTTCGCTTTCTAATTTAAGCTGCATCGATTGATTTATCTCGCAACTTTTACCTGTTTCACAACAGTTTTTGAAGCTTTATTTTTTTTTGAGTCGATGGTCAACATCTAATGATGTCGAAGTTTACAAATATACTGATTCCATCCCGAAGGAAATGACCGCTTTTCTTTCTTTTATAAATGAATTTTACACGTTCCTTGGTAGGCGGAAATTTTATTTTGTACCTTTTTCATTCCTTTCGTCGTTTTATTTGTTATCGTCGCGTTAACGCGATGCTTGTACACGCAGTGTTTCATTGTACAAATAAACATCGTTTCGATTTATCATCGTTTTGGTCGACTGACTTCGTCAATAGGGATAAAATATCTATTAACTTTTGTCAGATGCGTTTTATCACTGAAGCAACAAAGCTCTGCCTCGTAAATAACGTCAATAAATACAAACGCTTGTTAAGCTTCTTGCGCCGATGAATCGTAAAAAGAAACTATGATACGCTTTCCTAAGAAAAACTGATTATTTCGATAATCTGTGAATTATTTCTACTTCAAGGAACGGAGTGTAATGAGACATCCAGCTGACGAGTATACGTGTAAGAATGTTAGTCACGTGCTACGTAATTAGTTGCATAAAAAAAAAAAGTATTGCGAAGTACGGATATTCATGAAATATATGCTCGAGCATGCGCTCATCGATCCACGATGAAACCATGGGAACAGATAAGACAAACACAAGAAACCAAAAACAATTTTGAAACACATTGTTCCCTACCAGCGATTTTCATGTGATTGTTCGGTCAGAAAATTGTTCATAAAATATATTTCAATCGTTTTCGAAGAAACAATGGACGTCAAAGGCAGCAGCGACGAAGAGGAGGAGGTACATAACATTTCAGCGTTCACGAAATTCGACGAGAGTATCGAGGTGAGAAATGCTGAGGAGATACAGAGCCCCGTGAATCGAAGGCCTTCCAGCTCGAGAAGATCCAGACAGTACCCGGTGAATGAGAGTCGAAATGCTATAGGGATTAATTCACCCCGTGAGAAGTTCGATTTTCGAAGGTACGCAATATTCCTAAAAAAAGTTTCAATATATATGAGAAATAATCAAGTACAATTCTGTAATGAGACATGCATGTGTAACTCATTTATATTGAACTGATATGACTTAACCCTTTGCACTCCGCTGTCGCCGCAAAGGCGACACTGTGTGATAAGCTACTACTCCGTTGTCGCCGCGGCAGCGACATAAAAAAAAAAAAAACGTTTTTCGAATTTAAATACTTTATGTATTGAATTTAAATATTCTTTAGTTTTTCTTGGAAGCCTAGTTGCTGTTAGTTTGTATAAATAATTGTGTTAAAATTATTATTTTTTACCATAAAATGAAAGAATTAAAAAGTAATTTTTTTATTTATTGTACTTTTATATATTTTTTTTAATTATATTGTATTAATAAAACATATTTTTAAAAATGTATTCACATTGTTTTTTTAATGACAAAGCAAGATTTTCAATATAATAAATAGTCTGGAATAGCTGGTAGCCGATAGTAAAAAATGACTCGGAGTTGCTGGTAGGTTATGTTGAAAATTGTTCCGAGTGCAAAAGGTTGATAAGTAGTGAAAATAATTAGCGGCATAATCAGAAAATTGGAAATTGTTTGCAGATATTCAGGCAATGATAATAACTTTGGGAAATCCATAGGAATCCATAGTGATCCATCGGACAGTGAAGAGAGCGATGATGATGACATCCAGGGGACGAATAACGCTCAGCCAATTGAAATTTACAATCCCAAGGATTTTGAGGATTTAGAAGTGTCTACTGAAGTGAAGGAATTATTTCAAAACATAATGAGGTATCTTCTTCTTTAATCCACTGATATGTTATCTCCTTGTAATTGAATAGAAGTAATGGGAGTATTTCAAATAATCCTTCAAAGATTCGATGAATGAAACTATAACACAAGCGTCGAGGAAATTATTTTAACATACTAATCTATTGTAAAGTAATTCAACATAATTGATAATTGTGTTTCTTATTTTCTCATCAGATACACACCGCAAAAAATCGAGCTGAACTACAGGCTCATGCCATTTATTCCCGACTACATTCCAGCAGTTGGTGACATAGACGCTTTCATAAAGATCTCACGACCAGATGGCGTGGAAGACAAAGTCGGTTTAACAGTTTTGGACGAACCTTGCACCAATCAGTCCGATCCGGCCGTTCTTCATCTCCAGCTTCGTAATCATTTACGAAGCGCGGGAGCAGCGAGGCAGACGGTGATCAAAAGGATCGAGGACGCTGAAAAAAATGGGAAGTCGATTGAGAAGTGGATCGAGGACATAAATCAACTTCACAGAAGCAAACATCCGCCCGCAGTTAATCTAACGAAACCGATGCCAGACATCGACTCGTTGCTTCAGCAATGGCCACCGGAAGTGGAGGACAAGCTTAATGAGACCGAATTGGATTTCACGCAGTTAGACTGTCAACTGCCAGAGCTTGTCGATCTTATTTGCAATCTCCTGGACATACCGTCGGGACGAGATACGAGATTAGAGGCGTTACATACGCTCTTCACGCTTTATCTGGAAGTGCGGAATGTTAAAGCGCAGAAATATTAATTGTAAAGACGAATCTTGAGAATGATTCACGACAATGAGCATACATGTAAATAGGAAAGTTGTAATTATTATTTTCATTGTCGGGAGAAATGTAATTGATAAATAGTTACTCTGATGAAAGAAATGAGGATTAACGATTATTATGAATAAACCATTTGATAATGCTGTAGTAATATAATAATAAAATTACAATGAAAGTTTGATTTTCATTTTGTTTTATAAAGGATAGTAATTTCAGTTAAGTAGAACAAAGTTAACGATGTAACATGATATAAAATGTTTATTTTTATACAATCCACGTTCCCATCCAATGGAAAAAATTGTGTGCGAGTTACACAACCATTTCAGATATAGTGTGTAATCAGAGAACGTGGACTTATGGCATTTCAATCATGACAGTATCATTTATAATGTATTAAACAATATCAATTACACGCTACATTGTGATTGAAAATAAATGCTTGTAATACTGCTCGACAAGTGAAAGGGAAACGAGACTTTATCTTAATTTTCCTTATTGCTCATTTTTAACACCGGAAATTTTGTAATTCATATTTTTTCCTTGTTATTACTTTCCTTATATTTACCATATAATCATATTTTTTATCTTGCAAAGTGCATTCTTGTCTATTTCTGTTTCCAATGATTTCAATATTACACACTTTCAAATGTTTTGATTTTCCTCGTTTGTGCATTTTTTTATTAAAAAAAAAAATTATAGATTAGTATTTCCCAATTATTTTACATTTTTACGAATTTTTTCTTCAATATTATGAAAAATAGAAAAAAGAATACAATCTTTTAAAAATAGTTAAGGTTAGCAGATACAATATCTGCGAAAGAAAATGTATAACTTGATCGATTAATTGTAACAAATTCTGCAATAATGGAAGTGTGATACATAAGTTGAGAACCGCTCTTATTAAATATGAATCATAGTCTCAATCACGTGGTTGGTAATGTGTATGTTCCTTTCCTTTGTGTTGTCACTTCAACATGCAGTAACAGTGCAATGAAGTTACATCTGCACTTAGGCAATGACTTGATTTTCTTTTTTGTACTACGTAAAATGTAATTGTAGTGACAGTGGTCGCAAAAATGACAGATACATCAACTGATGTAAATATAATGATAAACAACAGTATCAATGATAGCGTTGATAGTAGTGTGAACGATGAAAATGACACGGAAAAATTATTGAAACCAAGAAATAATTTTGCATCGTATTCAAACGAAAACATTAACGTTAGATTTCGGGTATGAAATATTCAGTGATTTTATATCAACTTCTATTTCTTATCTTTATTTACTGTGAAATAACCTAGTTGACACTTCTGTGATTTTATGTATAAATATAAATTCATATTCTTTATAATGTTGATAATAGAATTCTTTTACATGAATAAATTTGAAATCTTGTATTTAATGTTTTATTTTTGTATTTCTAGCAAAATGTATCATCACAGAGTGTTGTGGAAACACTTTCCAGTAATTTAAGGAGAATTAATGTCGAAGAAATCCCCCCTGGTGCTACTAATTTTCTATCAACTAATTATGAGGTAGTTTGTCTTTCTGATACACCCTATATATTTAATTTATTGATACTTGTAATTATATTTATCTATCATTTTGATAAATTTTCTACGTCAATCATTATGAATATCATATCTCAGAAGCAATTAAATTTCAAAGAAGTATGTAAAACACGTCTGTATTTTGTCTTTTTTCTTCAGAGTTTAGATTATGATCCCTGTGAGAATCATCTTCTGCAAGATGAAGAAAGAAAAAAAGGCTATAAATTTGTAGTTAAGAAGAACTTTGCCAGATGGTTTATTTTCTTATTGATAGGCATTTGCACTGCGCTTATAGCTGGCTTTGTAGATATCTCTATAGAAGAATTGACAAAGTTAAAGTATAGTTGTTTAAAATTTTGTATCCTTTCTTGTTACTGTATACAAATAAAGATAGCATAAATATAAATTCAATTGTTCCTTATAATTGATAACAGACGTGGATCAGTGTGTAACAAAACATTGTCTTTGGCTGCCATATCTACTATGGTTAGCCCTAAATTTTGCACCTGTTTTAATAGGTGCTATTTTAGTAACTTACGTGGAACCTGTTGCAGCAGGTAGTGGTATTCCACAAGTGAAGTGTTATTTAAACGGAGTTAAAGTACCTCGAGTTGTTCGTATTAAAACACTAGCAGTAAAAACAATAGGAGTAATTTGTACAGTAGTAGGAGGTCTAGCTGGTGGAAAAGTAAATATTGTTTTTATTATTATCATTGTAATATAATTTACTATAAAGGCACAAAGTTTTTAAATGAAGAATAAAAATAATATTTTAGGAAGGACCTATGATACACTCCGGAGCTGTGGTGGCAGCAGGAATATCACAGGGGAAAAGTACTACATTTAAGAAAGATTTTAAAATATTTCAATATTTTAGAGAGGATCATGAGAAACGAGATTTTGTGTCAGGAGGTGCAGCTTCTGGTGTGTCTGCTGCATTTGGTGCACCAATTGGTGAGTGTTAGAAAATGTAATACACATATTACAAACATCGACTGCTTAATTAACAACAATTTAGGAGGAGTATTGTTCAGTATTGAAGAAGGAACCAGTTTTTTTAATCAAAGTCTCACGTGGAGGACATTTTTTGCTAGTATGATTACAACATTCACGCTAAACATCATCCTTAGCGCGTATCACGGACGACTCGGTGATCTTTCTTATCCAGGCTTGTTAAACCTTGGAAAATTTGAGACAATACCGTATCAAATTTACGAAATTCCTTTATTCGTGATAATGGGAACAGTTGGTGGACTTTTGGGCGCTTGTTGGAATCATTTAAACTATAAAATCACCTGTTTCCGTTTGAAGCATATAAAACGAAAATGGTTAAAAGTAATAGAAGCTCTTGTAATTGCTGCACTAAGTGCAACTATGGGTTTTACAATGATCTATTTTCTACACGATTGCAAACCATTAGGGCAAGATCCCACCAAATTTCCCATTCAGATGTACTGCAATAAAGGCGAGTACAGCGCAGTTGCAGCTTTATGGTTCCAAACACCAGAGAGTAGTGTACGATCTCTGTTTCATGATCCTAAAGGTATGCTGATATATGCAAGAAACGGCATAGAATATATTGAATCAATTTCTTGTTTGTAGGTTCCCATAATGATATTACGTTAGCTATTTTTGTTGTCCTCTACTTTTTCCTGGCTGTTGCTACCTTTGGTCTGTCCATGTCTAGTGGACTGTTCATTCCATCTCTATTAATTGGCTCTGCGTGGGGTAGATTAATTGGATCAGGGCTTGCGAAACTTTTTCCAAATTGTGTAAGAAAATGTGTAGAAATAAACTCAAGGTATTAGAGAACAGATGAATTACCAAGAATTATTGCAGGTTGTTTTAAACCCTGGAAAATATGCTTTACTAGGTGCAGCTGCTCAATTGGGAGGAGTAGTTAGAATGACAATAAGTTTAACTGCTATACTCATAGAAGCTACTCAAGGAATATCCTTTGGCTTGCCACTTATAATAGTTCTTATTTTGGCTAAATGGGTTGGAGACTTTTTTAATGAGGCATGGAGATATATTAATTTATATTTTAATCATGTTTTAATACATTTGTATATGTCTCGAATAATTTTTAGTATTTCTCTATTATTGTATAGGGAATTTATGATATTCATACACAAATGGCTGGTATCCCCATATTACCATGGGAAGCCCCACCATTGTCAAACAATATATATGCCAGTGAAATAATGAGTCACCCAATAGTAACATTATACACTGTAGAAAATGTAGGACATATAGTAGAACTTCTCAAATGTGTAACATTTAATGGATTCCCTGTAGTCGATCCTCCTAATAGTGATGAGGTACTAAACATTATATTATAAGATATTGAAAAGTTTACCATTTTATTAAATCTATTCTTTTTTTCTTCTAGCCTGAAATACATTCATATGGGAGATTTCGAGGGCTAATTTTACGTTCTCAATTAATAGTGTTACTACAAAACAAAATTTTTAACAAGAACCCAGAATATTGGGAAAAATCATTAAGTATTAAATTGTTCAGAAAGGAATATCCAAGATATCCGACAATTGATCAAGTGATCATAAGTGAGGAAGAAAAAACTTATATGATAGATTTGAGACCTTTTATGAATCCTTCCCCCTATACACTGCAACATGTTAGTATTTTGCTAATGTTTTATTTATAGAATGTAACAGATCAAATGAACTTTTTTTTTTTTTATTAATCATTTAATTTTCAGTCTGCGACACTGCCAAGAGCATTTAGGCTCTTTAGAGCATTAGGTCTTAGACATTTACCAGTAGTCAATGATACAAACGAGGTATTAACATTAATATATTTTGTAAAAATACTCTGCTGTGAAAAAAACTCTAATTTTGAATTTTTTGTAGGTAATTGGGATTATTACAAGAAAAGATGTTGCTAGATTTAGGATATGGAAACATAGAGGAAGAATGGGTTTAGATGAACTTTTAATTACTAATAAAATTTAATTTTAACTTTTCTAGACACAAAATTTAATATTATTTTATGAGAAAGAGTAATCTATTGTATGTATAAATATTAAGTTTATATATAAGCATGAAAGAATTTTTTATATTAGACTTTTCAGTAAAGGAAATCTGGATATTGTAAGAAGAGAAAAAGTTAATCAAAAACAAAATACATACATGTTAATTATTTATAAATAATTGCCAACCTAACCATGACCATAATTTGAAAAATAAATACACTGGTATAATAATTAACGATAAAAAAAAATAATATTCATAGGTTGAAATATACATTGGAATGGATATTCTTTGTTACAATCACCTCTAAAGATTATGTGACCAAATATTCAAGATCTCTATTTACGACCTGCAACAAGGAAAAAATATTTTATAAAAACACCCCCAATATAGTATTTACAATTATAGTATTTACAGTTCTTTTACTACTATCACTAAAGTGAGTGACTATAGTGATTACTATGACTTTTTAAGATTAAAATTAAAATCTGAAACAAATTATACAACATCTAATATTTGTTACATTCAAATTTACATAATATTTATATATTGTAAGATATAAATAAAATACAAAAACTTCAAATATACTTTAAAAACAAATGAATATTGGAAAAGCAGTTTCTATACCATGTTTCATATATGAATAAATTACTCAATTTTTACAAAGAATGTATTGTTAAATTAATACTGAGACAAACAAAATTGGCAAAATTTGTTAAATAGTAACAGATATTGGTAAAATTATATGTAATTATATGTTATGTAATTTGTACACTTCCCGCGTAAACGATACCAATATCTATAAGAATTAATATAACAATATATTGAATTGCCACCAATTAATTCCGAGTTCCTATTTTGGGAATGAATCACCTTGAGATAATAATACGTATAAAGCAGAAGAAAACTATTTCTATCTAATCTGCAATAATACTGGTTCTAAAAATTTTTTGTATACAGTGCAAAGATTACTTATAGTCAGATCTTACGTGCAACAATTTTCTTCCATAAATTCTCGTAATAATCGCCAATATTTGAGCGTAATAAACGAGTGAAAAGCATTAAAATAACAGCTTACTGACATAAATACAATACAAAATTATGAGCTTATAATTGAGATGTGTACAATTCAAAAGTTTAACGATACTTTCCACAACAGTTCGCCATTCCAATAATAATTGGTTTCTAAATTATTCACGCATGCGTGTATA